TATCAGCAGATCTTTGATTGCGTGGGCTACTTGCATCACAGCAGCCCCCACAGTAGATTTGCCCACTCCAATTTGATTCCCAACTGACCGGTAGCTGTCTGGCGTTGCAAGCTTCCACAGGGCTATCACCACTCGCTTCTCAACTGTGAGGGCTGCTCTCATCTTGGTATTCATGCGCCTCAGGGCAGGGGAAAGCAAGTCACAAAGTTCCATGAAAGTGCCCTTACGCATGCGAAAGTTTCACAGCCACTGGGAATCGTCCCAGACCTGCAACACTATGCGGTCCCACCAGTCTGTGCTTGTTTCCCAAGCCCAGAATCGGCGTTCCACAGCATGAACCTGCCCCATTAGCACCATGATGCATGCATTGGCAGGGCCCATGCTTTCAGAGAAATCTGTGTCCATGTCCTGATCACTCACGTGACCACGCTGACGTCGCCTCCTCGCTCGGTATCGCTTTGCCAGGTTCTGGTGCTGCATATACTGCTGGATAATGCGTGTGGTGTTTAATGTGCTCCTAATTGCCAAAGTGAGCTGAGCGGCCTCCATGCTTGCCTTGGTATGGCGTCCGCACAGAAAAAAGGCGCGGAACGATTGTCTGCCGTTGCTCTGACGGAGGGAGGGGCGACTGACGACACGGCTTACAGGGTTGGCTTCAGGGAGCTAAAATCAACAAAGGGGGTGCCTGTACATCAAGGAGTATTTCAGGCAGGACTTCACGGAGGGTTCCAATAAGAAATGGTGCACCTAAGTTATCGTTCTTATTGGAACAAGGAGGTTAGCCTGGCCTCTGATTGATACATGGCTAGATTTACCTCGCTGCACCTTCTCTGTGACTGACTGCAGTGTGACCTAGAGGAAAGAGTCCCCTAGAAATGAGTACAAAACAAATCTGGTCTATTTCTTGTTTTGACCCACTCCATCTATCTTTTACATCTTTGGCTGGCAGCAGACGGTGCAGAAGGACTGCATGCCATCCACATCTCATGGCTGCTCGGCAGAAGATGGTACAGTACGACTGCTAGCCATCCTCATCTCTTGCCTGCCTGGCAGAAGATGGTACAATACGACTACTAGCAATCCTCATCTCTTGCCTCCCTGGCAGAAGATGGTACAGTACGACTGCTAGCAGTCCGTATCGCCTGCCCGCTCACCATAAGACGGTTCAATAGGACTGACTGCAGGACTAAAGAGAATGACCTGGTCAAGTCACTCCAAATTTAGTCCCTGCGCCCATGTCTGCCCAGGTGCTCCCAGCCGACGTGGCCAGGAGCACCTCGGACACGACGAGGACAACTACCAGTCGTATTGCACCGTCTGCTGCCAGAAGGCAATGGGTTGCTGCTACTGTGCAGCAAAGCCGTACCGCATCTGCCAGCACCCAGGAGACATAGGGTGACGGTTACCTGAGCGGGCTCCATGCTTGCCGTGGTATGGCGTCTGCACAGGTAACTCAGGAAAAAAGGCGCGAAATGATTGTCTGCCCTTGCTTTCACGGAGGGAGGGAGGGAACGGGGGCCTGACGATACGTACCCAGAACCACCCGCGACAATGTTTTAGCCCCATCAGAGTGCTCCATTGTGACTGCTCTGGACAGCACTCTCAGATGCCCGATTGTTTGCCGTTGCTCTGACGCCGGGAGGGGCGACTGAGGACACGGCTTACAGGGTTGGCTTCAGGGAGCTAAAATCAACAAAGGGGGTGGCTTTACATCAAGGAGTATTTCAGGCAGGACTTCACGGAGGGTTCCAATAAGAAATGGTGCACCTAAGTTATTGTCCTTTTTGGAACAAGAAGGTTAGCCTGGCCTCTGATTGATACATGGCTAGATTTACCTCGCTGCACCTTCTCTGTGAGTGACTGCAGTGTGATCTAGAAGAATGAGTCCCCTAGACAGGGGGAGGGGGAAGCAAATGAGTACAAAACAAATCTGGTCTATTTCTTGTTTTGATCCACTCCATCTATCTTTTACATCTTTGGCTGGCAGCAGACGGTGCAGAAGGACTGCATGCCATCCACATCTCATGGCTGCTCGGCAGAAGATGGTACAGTACGACTGCTAGCAGTCCGTATCGCCTGCCCGCTCACCATAAGACGGTTCAATAGGACTGACTGCAGGACTAAAGAGAATGACCTGGTCAAGTCACTCCAAATTTAGTCCCTGCGCCCATGTCTGCCCAGGCGCTCCCAGCCGACGTGGCCAGGAGCACCTCGGACATGACGATGACGGCTACCAGTCGTACTGTACCGTCTGCTGCCACAAGGCAACGGGTTGCTGCTACTGTGTAGCAATGCCGTACCGCGTCTGCCAGCACCCAGGAGACATAGGGTGACGGTTACCTGAGCGGGCTCCATGCTTGCAGTGGTATGGCGTCTGCACAGGTAACTCAGGAAAAAAGGCGCGAAATGATTGTCTGCCCTTGCTTTCACGGAGGGAGGGAGGGAACGGGAGCCTGACGATATGTACCCAGAACCACCCGCGACAATGGTTTAGCCCCATCAGGCATTGAGATCTCAACCCAGAATTCCAATGGGCAGCGGAGACTGCGGGAACTGTGGGATAGCTACCCACAGTGCAACGCTCCGGAAGTCGACTCTAGCCTCGGTACTGTGGAAGCGCTCCGCCGAGTTAATGCACTTAATGCACTTAGAGCATTTTCTGTGGGGACACACACACTCGAATATATAAAACCGATTTCTAAAAAACCGACTTCTATAAATTCGACCTTATTCCGTAGTGTAGACATACCCTCAGGGGACTGTCTGTGACTCCATGTTAAAACTGTTATAGTGATCCAGGAGTTCACATTGTAACTGACTTGGTGAAAACTAATTGTAGAACACACCACCAATCTGGGGTGTCTGCCCTGTTTTTGACAGTCTGCCCTGACTGTCATGAGCCACTCAGGAGCCACAAACAGTGTGACAGCAGGCAATCCTCAACATTAATGTCACGGAGAAAAAGTACAAGAAAATATTGCAATGGAAAAATGAGCTTTATATTAAATCAAACAGATTTAATAATGTTATTACCATTTTTGGAGTTTGAACAAAATAAATATATAGACAATTATAAGAAGTGGACCAAACACAAATGGATCTTTTAAAGGAAACAAATGTAGAGAAATAAGCAGAAGTGAAGCAGGGCACATGATTTGCATAAGGAGGACAATATGGGTGAGGTAACGTCTTTTATTGGAATAACTTCTGTTGGTGAGAGAGAAGCTTTTGAGCCACACAGCACTATTTGAGCCACACAGCACAGGTACTCCCAGACCTGAAGAAGAAAAGCTTTCTCTCACCAACCGAAGCTGCCCCAGTAAAAGACTTTACCTCACCCACCATGTCTCTCTAATATCCTGGGACCGAAACGACTGCAATTACATTACATAAAAAGAGACGTATGTACGATTTAATGATAACTTACATGATTTACAGAGGAAAAACAATAGAAGAAGGCAAACATTTATGAAAGATTTCATGTGGTAATCTCAGTAACTGTTCATATTTGGACAACATGTGTAACTGACTACAGACTAGAACTTCCAACATGATATTTGTGTGATCCCTGGTTAGAGGCTTGAGACTTTCTTCATTCATATTAGGTGGAATTAGAAGGTGAGATATGTTATGAAAAAGATTTATAATACGTGTGTTGAAATGTGAATTTATACAGTTAGTATTAATAAGGATAAATATTTGTATAATTTGAATGATTATATTTTAATTATATGTTAATAACAACAATTTTTTTTTATTTTAAAGAAAACAGTAGAATCTAGGTTCTGAGATAAAAGATCCTTTACACTAATCACCACCTGTAATAAAAGGTTATGTAAGCCAAATGTAACCCTCAGTAGCCACATGCAATCCCACTGTCCTTAAATCGTGTGTCTGGTGATGTGAGCAATACCATGGCCTTAAATACATTTTCATTGATGTAACAGATTGGAACGTAGTAGAGCTGGTTAAAAAAATGGGCTTTTATTGAAACATTTTTGTTAAGAAAATATTTTTGACCAAAAATTTTAGAGTGGAAATTTCAGAACAAAATTAAATTAAACTTTTTGTTTAGTTTCTAACTGAAAATTTGGTTTTATTAGAATTTTTGATCTTTTTTTTTTGAAATTTCATATTTTAATTTTGCCCTCTTTTCCCCCCCCATTTTTCTCTCCTTTTGTCATGTGGTACAATACAATGAATAATGTTCAAGTTCCCCCTGACACTTTTTCCTCTCTTTTTTTTCTTTTTCTTCTCTAACTTCTCAAAATTTCTCCAATTTGAAAGGTTTACAGAGCTGCAAAATGAGAAAAGAAGAAAAGAGGAAAAAGTGAACCCACATCATTCATTCAGTGGCAAAAAATGGGAAAGAAAGAGAAAAAATGTTTTAAAAAATATATTTTGTAACTTGAATCAAAAAGAAAATTACAATTTTTTATTTTAAATCAAAGTATTGTTTTGCTTAGAAATGCTCCAATAAAGAATATGCATTTTAGTTACTGAAAAAAAAAATATTTTTTGCCAGCTCTAGAATTTAATAATCAATTCAAATAATAATGCACAAGAAAGAACAGAATCCATTTGCTTTGCCTTCTTATTTGTATTGGCTCAGCAGGCTAAAAGGAGTAAAGGCTGATAAAAGAATTTTGTAAGAATTTGAATGCACACAAGAAGTAAATTTCTTGAATAAGGGGCCAATTTTATAATTATTTATGTCAAAACTGTCAAAAATAGGAGCCTAAAGTTAGGCTTTGAAGTCCATATTTTGACATCTAAATAAAGTGTGTTGATTTTCAAAAGTGCTGAGCACCCACCAGTTTTCATTGACCTCAATGGGACTAATATTAGCCCACTATTTTGAGTAGGTCTTACAGTAGAACTACATATAAATCTCTGACATTTGTTTTTCCAGGTAACAAGTTTACAAAATAACATTTAAAATACATTACCATTATATATTTTCATTAAAATGGCATAAATAAAACTAAGAGAATACATACCAACAAAATTTTTCCATGAGAAAGGATTATCGGTCTGTTTCCATGACTGTGGCCAGGCCATCAGGACTGTATTATGTGTCATCCCTCCCAGACCAGCAGACTGAATCAAATGGGACATTCCATCTCTAAAACTGGGAGATACCACGATCTGGCAAAATCCTTTGGTCTTTTCTACCCCCATTAAGGATTTAATATTCTATTAAAAATAAGAAATTGAAGATGACATGTGGGAATATATTAAAGGAAATAACTATAAATACCATAGTTAATCGTTGCACTAAAGTAACAATAAGATGCTATACACTGGAATATGACATCAAGGAACATTGTTTTACTCTCTCAACCCAATGAATGAACAAGGTGCTATGATAACTGTAAAACCCACGTTTTAAAATCACTCTGTGCACACAGGAGTCTTTGTTTCTTAAGGGGGAATGGAATATGAGTAACACAGTGTTTGAGTCACTTTGCCCAGTATTTCATAATAAGTAATGCTTGGTGTGGGCTATGGTTTGCATAACCTTGTTGGCTGGTGAAGGCCTGTAGGGAGGTACTGGGTCCATTATAGGTTGAGATAGCCAGAATTTCTGGAAAATGGAGAAGGATGCCAGGAGCTCTTTAAGAAACTGTTGTGAGGCCAATGCTCAAGAAAGCAGCTTCTGGTATTGACAATTTGGTTATCTATTGACCAGTATCCAACCTCCGAGGAAGGTCATTGAGAAGGCTGTAGCAGTGCAAATCTGAGGGCTTTAAGAGTCCTCACATCAAAGTCAACTGAGTTGTGGACATGGAGTAGAAACTGCACTAGTTGTATTAACTTCTAGCAATGGATAAAAACCAATGTGTTTGTGCTGATTATTATTGTTAGCAGTTTTTCAGACCATGCTTTTCTTAAATTGTTTGCACATGATAGCACAAGTGAGTGAAGCTTCACTGGAGCTGTTCCATTCTTATCTTAACAAAGGTTAATTGTAATTGTTCTTTTGCTCAGAATATCTTCTCCCAAGCAGTGCCACAGGGTCTATATTGTCATAGCTCTTGTTTAATGTGTATATGAGTTTGCTGGGAGGCTTAATAAGGATGAATGGGCTGTAAAGGCATTCAGCATGTCAATAGCAATCAGCTCTAAGTCTCCAAAACTGCCCCAGCTGGAGATATGGAATTAATTACCGAGTGTTAAAATGAAACTGGAGCTTGGATTGGGGCTTCTTGATCTATGTCTGGAGTGAGTCTCCATTTACTGTCTGAAACTTAATCCAGACAAGATAAGAGATATTGTTGGTGGGCTGGGAAAAGCTGCTGAAAGACTTTGAGGAATTTATTATGGCATCTCTTATAAATAAAGGGCACACTGCCTCAATAACATATCTGCATAAATTTGGGTGTGTTATTAGATTCTACTCTGCTCCTTGATGTGGCCAAGAGAGATTTTTCCATCTGTGCCTCATGAGAAGAGGTCCTTGTCATAATTATCCATGTTTTTGTCACCTCAATATTAGACTACAACTATCATGCACTGTACATTAGGCTGTCCCTTAGAACTATAAGAAGTGTAGGCTAATGTAGAATGCTGTGATTAATTTATTCAGCAGTTACATGTTGGAAACACATTAAACAGGCATTCTAAGATCTAGGATCTACACTGGCTTCTAATAAGCTTCTGGGTAGAATTCAAGGAATCAGTTTTGATCTATCAAGCCCTCAATAGTTTTGGATTTAGTCACCTGAGAGATCACCTCTTCCCCCCTTGTCATATTGTCACAACTGAGATCAGCACAGGCACTTCAGCTGGAGCCCACTTGATTAAATGACAGAGAGTCTGTTGGCAGGGTGTCCTCCATGAAGTTTCCTCAACTTCGGAATGCACTCCTGACCTTGATCTGGCATAGTCTACTTTGCTAGCTTGTAGGTATGGTACAAAGCTCACTCTTTTTCTTGTGCTTCATAAGCAGGGATGGGCTGAAGGCTGAATGAGTCAAGTGCAGTGGTTCCCAAACGTCTTACTAAGGTGACCTTCCAACTTCATTTTATCTTTTTTGAGGATCCACTATTACCCATCCCCTGCCTCCTGCTCCACCCTTCCCAGCCCAAGCCCCCTGCTCAGCTCTCCCAGCCCTCTTGCTATTGCTGTCCCATTCCTACCCCTTCCCTATTGCAGTCCTAGCTGGCCCTTCTCTCTCCCTATGGCTGGGCTGCAATCACTCCCAGGTGGCTGATTACAGTTGCCAACCCTCTCGGCATGGCCGTGAGTCTCCCCGAATCAGGCTCAATCTCCTGGAGGCTACTGAAGCGAATCTGGGAGATTTTAAACTGATAGAAGTCCAGTGGCATAGTAGGCCTAAGGCCTATGAATCACAGAATCATAGAATATCAGGGTTGGAAGGGACCTCAGGAGGTCATCTAGTCCAACCCCCTGCTCAAAGAAGGACGAATCCACAACTAAATCATCCCAGCCGGGGCTTTGTCAAGCCTGACCTTAAAAACCTCTAAGGAAGGAGATTCCACCACCTCCCTAGGTAACCCATTCCAGTGCTTCACCACCCTCCTAGTGAAAAAGTTTTTACTAATATCCAACCTAAACCTCCCGCACTGCAACTTGAGACCATTACTCCTTGTTCTGTCATCTGCTACCACTGAGAACAGTCTAGATCCATCCTCTTTGGAACCCCCTTTCAGGTAGTTGAAAACAGCTATCAAATCCCCCCTCATTCTTCTCTTCCACAGACTAAACAATCCCAGTTCCCTCAGCCTCTCCTCATAAGTCATGTGTTCCAGTCCCCTAATTATTTTTGTCGCCCTCCGCTGGATGCTTTCCAATTTCTTCACATCCTTCTTGTAGTGTGGAACCCAAAACTGGACACAGTACTCCAGATGAGGCCTCACCAATGTCGAATAGAGGGGAACGATCATGTCCCTTGATCTGCTGGCAATGCCCCTACTTATACATCCCAAAATGCCATTGGCCTTCTTGGAAACAAGGGCACACTGTTGACTCATAACCAGCTTCTCATCCACTGTAACCCCTAGGTCCTTTTCTGCAGAACTGCTGCCGAGCCACTCGGTCCCTAGTCTGTAGCAGTGCATGGGATTCTTCCGTCCTAAGTGCAGGACTCTGCACTTGTCCTTGTTGAACCTCATCAGATTTCTTTTGGCCCAATCCTCTAATCTGTCTAGGTCCCTCTGTATCCTATCCCTACCCTCCAGCATATCTACCTCTCCTCCCAGTTTAGGGTCATCTTCAAACTTGCTGAGGGTGAAATCCACTCCATCCTCCAGATCATTAATGAAGATATTGAACAAAACCGGCCCCAGGACCGACCCTTGCTAAAGTCAAGGAATAACGCGTCCACTGTCGGAGAACACTTCAATCTCTCTGGTCACTCGATCTCTGACCTAATATTCGCAATATCACAACAAAAAGACTTCAAAAACAGACTCCAACGAGAGACTGCTGAATTGGAATTAATTTGCAAACTGGATTCAAACTCAGGCTTGAATAGAGACTGGGAGTGGATGAGTCATGACACAAAGTAAAACTATTTTCCCATGTTTATCCCCCTCCCCTCCCAACTGTTCCTCAGACATTCTTGTTAACTGCTGGAAATGGCCCACCTTGATTATCACTACAAAAGGTTTTCTTCCCCCTCCCCGCCACTCTCCTGCTGGTAATAGCTCATCTTAAGTGATCACTCTCTTTACAGTGTGTATGATAACACCCATTTTTTCATGTTCTGTGTGTATATAAATCTCCTCACTGTATTTTCCACTGAATGCATCCGATGAAGTGAGCTGGAGCTCACGAAAGCTTATGCTCAAATAAATTGGTTAGTCTCTAAGGTGCCACAAGTACTCCTTTTCTTATTGTGAATACAGACTAACACGGCTGCTACTCTGAAACCTGTCAGTGTGGGAGAAGTGGCTGGAGCCAGCAAATGAACACTCAGCAGCCTATCCTGCCCTACCCGTGCCCCAGAAATGCTTCCTGTGTGCTGCTGCCAGCAGGAAGTGAGAGCATGGGGCTGAGGCATTCGTGGCAGACAAAACCCATCTAGACTTTCCCGCAATGCACCATTTGTGAAATAATAGTCTAGTGAATATTTATTTGTATGTGTATTATTTGTCCTTTACATTCTATACTGTTGTATATTTTAATTTATGGGATAGGTACTCAGAGCACAGGACAGGTGCCTACAGAGAATACTTTTGTAAGTTTGACAAATACTGAGAGTATTTTAGGAATGCAAGTTAAGCAAGTCTTCCCTAAAATTGTTATTTTTATATCTGGCTTCAAATTCTCCCAGGTTATGACAAAGCAATGACTTTTTAAAAGAAAACTTTGAGCTGTTTTATTGTCAGTAAATAATCAGACAAATGCTATGTGCTATGCCATACTTAGAGCTTCTGTTTTTCTGGGTTTATTCATCCTGTTTTGGGGAGGGTTATTTTTAGCAATTTTTGAATTTTATATAGATGTCAAAAATCAGGAGTTTAGGGCTATTTCTTTGTATATACTGTAATGAATAATGTATATTATACACCGTATAATACTACAATATACAGTATATGTTACTGTAATAATTAATCTCTTTGTAATATTCCCTTGTGTGAAAAAGCACGGTCTGTGCTTTGCCAACACATTAATGTACTTTAATAATCATACTCCTGTATACTACTGCTCTGTAGACAAGCTGTACATCCATAGATATAATCTACCATTTCTGGATCTTCTGCAGTGTTTATTGGACAAGTACAGATTTCATATTTTATCTATCTATATCAGGGGTATTTTATCAGTATTTATTGGTTAAAATAAAAAACCAGAAGTGATATCCATACTTAATTTTTGTACTATTCTAGTAGTTTAATATGATCATATCATGGATAATGACCAGGGTAGTGTTCCCAATGTTCCTCTCTTCTGCCCTGTGCTCCTTATAGAGGTCCTAACCTACCAGGTTGAGAAACACTGTTATAGATCAAATTTTCTTTTAAAGAGAAAAATAAAATGCATTAAACTGAATAAATTCATTAAAACTACAATCTTCATATTGATAAATCAATTCAGTTTCATATAGCTTTTACTAAGATATTTTAAAAGAAATGAATCTGTTGTTCTGGGTGGAAGCCTTCATTTAATAAGATTTATGAACCCCTAGAGTTTCTGAAATATGGCAATAAGCTCAGTAATTGAATTTC